TTAATAAAAATGATAGTAAAACGAGAGAAAACAATTTAAAATAATTTTGAGCAAATTTAGCAGCAGTAATTTTTCAAAAGTAAGTAGAGCGATGCTTAAAAATGACTTAATGTTTTTTTTTTTTTTAAATTCGGACTATTAAAAATACCACATAAATGCCGCTCGTCATATATATAGTTTTATGTATAAAAAGTAGATAACGAAAAGTTTGTGATACATTAATTTAATAGGATTTGGGGAGAGGACTTTAATCGTGGCGAAAGATAGTCACATTTTACTTGTGGCCATCTTCGGGATATACAATTTCTAGCCACATAAGTGAGGTCGTCACCAAAAAAAAAAATTGACATACAAAACTAATTAGAGTACCATAGTGAATCCTGCTAAAAGTTTAGTACATATTATAAAAGTGAAAATAAATAATTTAGATAATACTGTACTGTACATCCTTTGCAATATACAGTACGTACAGAGTTCTGTATTTATACTAAATAATAGAATATTGAAATATACATTGCATTTACAGTGAATGCAAGCTGTTCGTAGTAGGGTTCACTCAGTTACTGTAAAGTACAATACTTAATGGAATGCCCACCAGTAGTCAAGTAGAGTAACGGCTGTCTTCTTTTGCCGTCACTCTCGGGGAGTAACGGCTATAGAAACTCTCACAGGAATGTAGGTCTCTTAAGATCATTGTGCACATGTTCCTTTTAAAAATTCGCCAAAAATCAGCTATTGTAAATGTATAAAAAAGGGTTTATTCATTTATTATTGATAGTAGTTTTAGGTGTAATATGTTTTTATTGTTAGTGTTATAAATTTTTTGAAAAAAAAATTAAATGAAATAAATGAAAGTTGATATGTCTTTGTTTACCCATATTTGTGACAAAATAATTAGTTTACCAATTTATTTATTTGTTCCTCAGACCAAAGCAGCATGATACAAAATATTGTTCTGTACATTTTGATATAAAATATATGTATATTAGCAGATGAGCCCGGCGTTGCTCGGTCAAGAAGTAACGATAGCGAAGATTAAGATTATTAGATTAAAGCCGATCTTACCCTTTTTCACTGGGTGCAAGAATTAGGTTCACTCTCTTCCGAGACTAATTAGAGAATTTTTTGATATGTCTAAAAATATGTTCGATTTCCCACAAAAACGGAAAAATCCGCATCTAAAATAGTACAGTAAAATTCGAATTCTTCAGGGTAAGTTTGTTTAGTTAGTTATGGCAATGCAACACTTGGGCGATCTGCCTGGGGTGCCTTCCGAGAGGTATTTTCAAGGGAAACTGGCCCCTATTTAGGCGTTACAGACGTGGAGAAAACCCGTCCGAACGATGCACGAACTCCACTGTTCAAGGAATGACCCTTCAGGGCAAGCCTTAATCTTTTCTCTCTCCCCCGCGGGGGAATTTCGAAAAATCCCTTCTTGGTGTACAGTACATTCTCATGACGTACCTTGATACCTTGACTGTGTTTCAACTTCAACTTCTAACCGTTTGGGTTATGCGCTTACTATTATTATCATTTTCAACCCATCTCGATTATATTATAAGATAGTCTTATTGGTTATTGAATCACATGGCATAAATTGGTCTATTATGTTTTGTCACGTGTTATGTGAAGTAAATATAAATTTATGTCAATATTGTGAAGTTATGAACATCGCATCAAAAAACTTAATGATTAATTCAATTTCAACACTACCTCTTCTCACTAACGATATATGAAACTCGTGAATTAGAAAAAATACTTTTTTTTATATTTATATTTATGACACATATAAAAATTATTCTCCCTTCTAACAACGAGGTGATTTATGGCTGCAATAAGTAGTAGAGTCGGTAGATTAACTGCAGAGTCGGTAGATTAACTGGTCTTTCGACTAATAGTTCAAACTTAGCTAGAGACAATATTTGCCGCTAGTCGGCGCCACTGTTAGCAGGAGATCGTTGTTCTTGCTAGGTATATACTGAAGTNCAACGAGCGAAGATAGGAAGTCGAAAGACCAGTTAATCTACCGACTCTGGTAGTACCCATCATCATTAACAAGTAAATGAAATACAAATTATTGGGCTGCAATTTGAAAAATTGTAGACCTACGAGCAAAATATAAAAAAGAATTAAATATGAAAAACAAGTAAAACCGTATTTGAGACAAGACTATGTCTCGGAGACGGACCACTTCGATGCTCAAGGCAGGTGTCGTTCTCATTCTCCTATCTGATATCCCTGCTTTTGGGCGCGATCGTTCAAACTTCGCCGGCCACGACCACGAGATCGTCCACGATGCATCTTCGATGAAATTAACCTATCTGATTTCAAAATTTCTCTCCGTTGCGTGTCGGCCCGGGTTGAATTTTTGTAACGAAAATTTCCCGTTTTTGAAAAAAATAATTGTGGCTATTGTATCGTCCGAAATTATTTTTTATTTTGCACAAACAGTGTACAGTTTAACCTGATTATAACGTCATCGGATGTAACGATAACCCTAATATAACGTCAAATTTTTATCGGTCCCACGATTTTACTATACTAGATAATGTTAAAAAAATCCACTTGTAACGACATAAAACCGTTTTAACGTCATATTTGAAGCACTCCCAAATTTACAAAATTAGATTACAAATTTTATTTAACATAGAATAAACTACGTGTTCATTCCTAAGGTCAGCGTTTACTTCTTAGAATGACTGTGGGTGGTACTCTCCCCACCTGACTTCAGTGGGGTGAGGTGCCTGTTTTGCCTGTTTGTAGAAGAGGGTCGCCATTTTGTATTTTATTTTGACTCGATTCTCGGTCCCCTGAGTACCTACAAGTCTGGATTTTTTATGCACAAATAATTTGGGCACCTAATACTCTGTGCCAAATATCAACTCTCGACATGTACTCCTTCATACCTCTATGCTGGTAAGAACATCGGGCAGTACGATTTTATAAACAAGACAGTCTTGTCAATAATCATAATAAATAATCAAAATTTAATATATATATATATATATATACTTTAAATTTCGATATATATATATAAGGAAAATGTTAAAGAGTAAACATCTTCATTATATATAAACAATTAACAAAAACAAAATAAAAAAGCTATGAAAAATATCAAAATACCACACTTAATACAAACCAGTGTTAAAAAATAATTTTTCGAAGTTTTTAAAAAATAAATAAATTTAATACTATAGTATTTAAAATTCAAGCTGTAAAATGCGATTCTCGTCATTTGCAAACTACGGTGAATACTTTACTCGATAAAAATCTAGTTTAAATTAGGGTACCTTTATATAGGCATCCCAAGTTAAAGAAAGGAAAAGAAAATGCCTTGATATGACTATTCTGAGACCCTAGTAGTATCGCCAGTATTATTCCAAGATTAAACAGACAGTCTTATTTTGTCGTTGGTTATGATAGTCACCTGCACCTAAAAACCAAGCTGACAACTTGGGTAAAAATCCTCAAATCTATCTCTTTTTTTTCAAACACAAGATTACTGAAAAATAGAAAATATTTGTCTTTACAAATCTATCGTTTCACAATCTTCACTTACAGAGACTACCTTTTATTTGAGGTGAATTAACTATTACTTAATGAGCAAAGGAATAATATATCCTAAAAACTAGATTGTGTATAAAGAAGGGAGATAAGAAAAGAGTAGATTGTGAAATGGAGTTCAACATGTCACGATTTTGAATGAAAATTTTCCAGGTAAAATTCACCTCAAAGTAATATTCAGGAAATATGTGTGCTTATGGTATATGTTTTGTTAATTTTAATAATGTATTTGAAGATTTGAAAGACAAATGTATATTTAATAATTTGATTTGTACACCAAATGTAAGTTTGTTTTATTGTTTATATTTTAATAATTTTATTGTTAAAATCGGGAAATTATTTGTACGTTTGTTTTGTACAGTTTAATATGTAACAACTGAAGAGGGACGACATGAGTCCGAAATGCATCTTATTAAAGGTACTTAAAAAGAATAAAAAAAGAGTTATAACACACAAAAGTCGTCGGTAATTAGTTTGGGGGAAAACAGCACTATTTGGGTTGCTGAAATAATAATTTGATAGAGATCCAAACAAGAAACTAAATGAAGAAAATGTTTATTTTATTTAAACGTTGTCAGCCGGAGGAGGGATTTCAGCAAACAGTCCCAAAACTACAGCAAGAAAACTCCGTTTAAAGCGCTCTACACAATGTTGTCAGTTTATAAACGTGAGATTTTCGTGTTCTGTTGGCCACGTAAACAGAGATAAATGTCACTTTAGGACGCTCCTATCTTGGCCAGTTAAATGAGGTCGCCACCAAGTTGGAGTTTGATTTATATTAAAGCGTGCAGTTTTACAGGGAATTTCAGAGGTTGCCACATAAGAGAAGTTTTATTGTAATTTTCCAATAAAAAATTTTACTTCAGAATCTTAAGTTATCCTTCTGTGTTCCTCCTCTTTCGGCACTTTATTGAAACACAAGAATTAGAATCACGTTAGATGTTTTCAATTAGTATTAAACAATTTAAACTCTACATGTAGTATATCCTTTATAGAATAGATTTTGAAGTGATGACAATATCTTATAAGAAATTTGTTTCATAATCTATAATGTTTTAATACAGCTGAATTATCTCAATGTATTAAAATATTACACGATAGATTCCAACGTATAGTAATTCTTTTTTTATTGATTAAATTTATAGAAATTAGTGGTTTTGTTTGGCACTTTTTTTTATTTCAGTTTCCCAATTTAATCTAAATTTAAACGTTTCCTAAAATTTTACCTAAATAAAACCTAATTTTATCAGCAATATTTGACTTTTTCACTTTGTATTTGAAATTCTCTTATATCGCTAATTAATAACAAACGCATTTAAATTTAAAAAAAAAAAAATAGAATACTTATAAATAACTAATAAAATATGTTACGTGAATTTGATCAGTTCGCGATGGAAATTGTTTCAATACTCATTTGATAAACAGCAAAATTTCGAATAATAAACTTTTATTAATATTTTGTTTGATTTTAAATGTTCTTAATTAAATTTTGATATATATTATTGTTCTTTTTATTAAATATTCTCATTTCCTTTCAATTTTGTACTCCAGCTCCCAATTCGTAAAGACCATTGATCAGGTTGGAAATCTGATCTTTATACTCCTGGAAAAACACGAACTGAAACACAAAGACGAAATCGTTAAAGAACGAAGCTGTAAAATTTACATGCTAATGCTAACACTACGTCCAACTCACTCCTATGAAGGTTAAGATGGTAATAACTCCAGGAATTAGGAGGATTTTACCGACCATCATGAAAATCGAAAACGATTTATCTTTGGGACGAAAATCCGATTCGAATGCGGAATTTTCCATCTGGTTCGGTCGTACGTAGCATTTAGCCAGAGAAATACACTTCTCGGCTGCACACAAAATGCGATAGACGAAAATTTTCAGCCAATGCATAAAACATTGACATGCCGATGCAAAAGCCCGATTTGCGTAATTGAATACGTTCACCAACGTCTCCTCCAAGAAGTGGCATGTCGAAGCGAAAGAACCTTCACTTGTATTATCAAAATCTTTTCCTATAGAATATAATAGGTAATTATCACGAAAGTACGTAACCAAATTTGTGAATAATTAATTAAAATTACTTTTCGGGCATTTCAAGGCAGACGAAATGGCAACGAAATAAATAAACATCAGCAAAGTTGTTGATAATTTGAGATCCATGCTGAAAAGAAAAGTTGTTAAATCTCTCTCGTTTCGAACAATAGAAAACATCGTGTTTAAGTCTTCAGTTCGAAACTATTATGATTGGAGGTAGGACTTTAACATCCCTCTACTCTTACCTCATTTTTTTCAATAATTTTTTTAATAAAACGTCTCGATATCTTTCTTTCTTCTATATTATTTTAATAATGTTTAATTGTTGTATTGTTTCAATAACGCGTAACAATGGGTTCGATTTACTATCGTATTTATTAACTGTCTAATTTTTCACAAACAAAAACTAAGCTTCTTTTTGTAATGTAAAAATTTTGGACTCGGGACCTGAAACGTAGAGAAATGCAAAAAACTGATGTTACAGTGTGTGGGAGGCACGATTTGTACACCCTGTTTCAAGCTTAATAACGTCTATGCTTTTTGTCGAATATTTCTGAAATTTTACAGGGAAGTTTTTATTAGGAGGATCGATGCTATTAAATTTTCGTGGTTAAAGGTCGACGGGTGGAGAGATAAAGGGAGTCGTGTGTATCGCCATAGGGTCGGACTTAATGACGATTTTAATCGTTATTAGCATTTTTTAAAAAATGAAACCCGTCCCTACCCTCAAAATTGAGCTTTTTTTTCCACTTTATAAAAAGTTTTTAACTTGTCTAATTATCATATTTTTATTAAAACAAAGAAAAAAAGCTGACAAAGAGGAGTACATTTCGGCGGGATAATTTTTAATTGGAAAATGGAATATCTTTTTATATTTGAGAATTTGTTCGACTACCCCACGAGTCTGTTATTTAAAAACCTTTTCATGTTTTACATATGACTGTAAAATGTTAATTAAAAAGTCTTTATAAAAGCTTACATTACATTAAATTATACAAAATGTGATTATAATGTTATACAGTATGTACTGTACTGTACTTTCTAAAAATGGAGTGAGTGATCAAAGTAAAAAAATATGTTTTCAATGACCTTAAAAGTTGTAAGTAACAAATTTTATGATGATAAGATCAAATTAAAAAATCTACTTTCGCATAAGGAAATGGAACCCGAAAACAAAATCATTAATCTGCAAACACGTGAATCCATCTTCTGTGTTTGAATTAATGAGTATAGAAAAACTTTTATCGTAATTTTCTGGAAAATGCCTGAATAGTGGGCAGGGGCGCCCGTACATTGGGTCATTATCTCGGTCGCCCTTTTCCTAATCCCCAAGGGGGTCAAAACAATAGAAAATTCGTGGCTTATTCTGTAAATATAAAAGAAACTAATGGACGATGTTTGTCCATTGACCCATACAACTTCGTTGTATGTTGATCAAAACCCCATTCTTTATACGTAATAGATATGTATATATCCATGGTGCGGTTTACTTTATATTACTTTTAAAAAATCAATTTTTCAAAAATATTTCCTCAAAATTGATGACAAAACTTTATGGGTTAATTGTACCTAAATAACCCTAGTTTTTTTGCCTGGACCTCATTTAATCAGAGACAAAGAATACGAATAAAAGCTTTGTCTCTGATTAAATGCGGTCCAGGCAAAAAAACGGGAGTTATTTAGGTACAATTAACCCATAAAGTTTTTTCACCCCATTCTTTGTTTTCGAGGCCAAATTAGCCCCGAGAGTAACCAGCGCCACCAACCTGTGGGAGCGCTGATCCGACGTTGAATCAGAGTTTGAAGCTCCCTGCGTAATGTACGATGGTTTTTTTATAGCTGGTGCCCCCTCCTTTTTCATAATTGCGGGCGACGCTGATAGTGGTCTTGCGGATATGGTAGAGTTTAAGTACAAGTAAATACAATACATCCACAAAATTTCATCGAAATCGGCGATTCCAAACTGCCGGGTTCCCCACGTTAATATGAATCATCAACATAACAATAATTATATATAGTAATATCGTATACCCGCACGTTTTGAATTAAAGGTTGAAAGTTACGTGATAACTAATGATGTCTGCAATGCAAAATGTATCAAAACGAGTTAGTATTATGGGGAGCCACAAAAACATTAAGTTCGGAAAGGGCCAAGGATAAAAAAAGGGTTGAGAAAAACTGGAATCGATGAGAAATTTTCGTTTCTTAGTTACAATATATCATCAAATGAACTTAACTGTTCATTACAGGCTTACAATAAATGAGACTTTAAAACAAATCCATTGGCTTATTTATGGAATTAGGTTATTGGTAAGGTTAGCAGCCTTAGATCAATGTTGGAATTGGAAAATGCAGACAACGATAATAATATAGAAGTATTGGATAGCTACTAACAAACTGATGAATATTAGCATGCTTCTGTGACAGATGAAATTTTTATGAAATCTTGCTTTCAGAAGTATTTTACTTATTGAATATTTCTGAAAACACATTCTTCATTTTATTTGAAATACATTTTCAAAAGTCTGATTAGTTTTTGGCTTAGAAATTTTAAAAGTACATAATTTGGTAATGGTTCAAATTAAGAACTTTTGAAGATAATTTTATTAAAAATGAGTATTTTGTTGGTACTTTGCTTCTTCTATTTAAAATTGTTGAAATTAAGCTTTAGAGAACATATCAAAGTTACTTAATGCTTAACTCCAACAATTTCAAATACAGTAGAACAAGCAATCAATGTACCAACTAAACCCACTTGTGATAAATTCTCTAATTATAGCACCAGTACATCAAAAAGAAAATCAGACATTTAAGTATAAAAACTTTTTATTTGAAATAAGCTCTACAACAGATAAATCAAAAATTTTAAATAATAATAGTACCTTTTTATCAAATTTTAAAATTCCACAGTTAAAAAATTTAATTTTTTTTTTATCGTTTCTTATTGACTGACAATAGTCGTTTATTTTATTAAATAATACTGTATTTTTGGCAGCACTTAACTGTAGAAATTATGTCAAGAACTGAGCCAGGGATGCTTCAGACACTCCAGGGCTGTGGCACGTTTATTGGGATCGAAAGCTAACATGGGAATTAAAAAGTCCATGAATCCTTGGGCATCGGATGATCTCCATTTGTATTTCTCTGTCAAAACACTGTACAGATTCCATGGTTGCAACTGGTTAATATGTTTCAGATTGCCTGTAATAATAATAATAAAACATTATTTATCATATATAACCAAAAGCCGGATTTCTTCAAGCTATATTTAAATATTTTGGCTAGACTTCTTAGTGTCTCGCTACATACAGGCTATAGTTAATTCATTTCGTGTGTAACTTGATAAATCAATAATCCCAAGAATATAGAAAATGTAATTGAAAATTAGGAAGTAGAAAATTTTCGCAATCATCAATACAGCCATTTCAATTTCATAAACAATATCACGTCTGTGTTTCCATTCAACTTTTTCTTAAAAGTTTTGACTGTTTATAGATGCCACTTCATTTTTTCATAAAAGTACTGTATTAGCCTGAATATTGATCTATGTTCTTTCCAGTTGAAAGGGGCAAAAAAAAATCACTCCTGACCTATATTAACCCATCCTGCAATAAGTTGCTTAACTTGACCAATAACGTAATGATTGTTCTTGCTGTATCGGCCTCAAACCCTCCCATATATAAGTAATTTTTAAATATCACTTATTTATAAATTATATTGAATCTCTGTTCATTGAGGGATTTATAACAATGAAACTGAAAATATCATTTACAATAGTTGCTTAATTAATGAAAGCATTTCCTTCCTAATTTTCATTTTCTTTTATAGCCTAAATAATTATTCCAAAGAAAACTTTTTTCTTGCTGAAAATAAAGATTATTTTACTTATAATATGCTTAAAGCCATGGTTCTCAATCCGTGGTCTGCAGAACACGGGTGCTCCATGAAACCACTTCAAGTGTTCCGGGAAAAAATCAAAATACAGTCGACCCCCCTATAACACGGTAGATACGTTCTGGTTTTTATGAATCCATTTTCTATGAGTCCAGCCAATCTCAGCCCGGCACATATGCAGTTTACGGACTATGGCTGTTTGAAAGGTTTCTTCCATAAAATTAATCGATTCTAGACTAACTCGACTCAACATTTCCAAAATACATATAATTTTTTGGAATAATCCATATAAACTATGCTATAAATAAAAAATTGTAGGATTACTTATTGAGCGTGCACCGTTCGACTACACCATTGCTTAAGCTTATTTTTGTTGTGGAGCTTGTCATCGAATGCCACTCGCGTGCTTTCTGATAAATTATTTGTTTTGTGAAAAATTTGCTGAACTTTGGAGACATCATTAATATAAATATAATTTTTATGGGCATTAAATAATAAATGATTTTTAGTAGGTCCGCTGCTCATTTAAACTCAATGGTTTGTGCAATATCCACTATTGGTCTAGATTCGACCAATCCTGTTGCAACACGAGTCGGCAATGATGTTTTACTGAATTATAGGAGATTTTTTTAGCATGTTTGTACGAATACTGTTGCAATTTTTTTGCCGTGATATAAGAATCCGAACTATAGGAACCCGTGTTATAGGGGGCGGGTCAACTGTATACAATTAAGAATTGTAGCAAAAGAAAAATCAATACAATGTATAATAATTTTTGTATGGGAATGTAATCTGCAAATGCCAATGATGTCATATACTAGATCGAGTGCACTCTTGTTTTCAAAAAGGTTTGTCACCCCTGCTTTACAGCTGATGTAAGTGTTCTGTGGAAAAAAATGTCAAAGTTTAGTGTTCCCCAACTTCAAAAAGATTGAGAACCACAGGCTTAAAGTAATAAATTTTGTTTCATTTATACGATGGTCATATTTACCTCTTTTATTGAAAAAATCTCGAGAATATTTTCCAGAAAAAATAATATGCTTAGGAATTTCTCCAAGTAATTCTATTATAGATGCCAAATGACCTTCATCTCTTGTATACTTCTCACCAGAATGAGGATCAAATAAGTAATCACCTGTAGCTAGTTCAAATGCCTGCAGATAAAAGAATTATAATTAATGTTTTAAGTTCAAACACTGGAAAGAATTTACATGTCAAGACATTTCCATAAGTTTAGATATCATTTTTAGTGTTATTGAGAATATTTTGACATTCAATATTCTCAACAACACTAAAAATGAACTTAATTTTAGATCTTTTAATTATCCAATATAAAGATTATTTTCCATGTTATCATACTATAAGAATTATTTAATTTGTACATTGAATAAAGCAACATTAATCAAGATGAATTAACTATTTTTGAATTACACATACACTAAGACTTAATGAACTTTTTAGTTCATTAAGTCTTAGTGTATGTGTAATTATTTAATTTTACTGTAACTTCAAATTTTTCCTTTGTATGTCAGTACAATATACAGGATGATCCAAAGTCAGTTCACAGAGATATTTTTAAGATTATTTTATGGGTGATTAAAATTGGTTTGGTACAGATGTATCATTTGCAATTCATATATAATCAACTGAATCAAAAAATATTTAAAACTGAATATACATTTGAATATTTTCTCTATTTTGTGCATATCGTACAATAAATTTGGCAATGAAGAAATTAAATTTTCCAACACTAAATTCCAGACAACATACCAACTTTCCTGAAAGTACTAAAAGAAATCTTTTATAAAATAAAATTATATTCTTTTAGTTTAGTTTGTTCATTTTTTTTATAAGGATAAATCCATAATTTGTAACAATTCAGCTTACCAAACAAGCCGTAGACCAGATGTCTGCTGGAGGTCCATAATCAGCACCCAGCAATACCTCAAGAGATCTGTAATGCCTGGTTTGAATATCTTCCATAAAATGTTGATTCTTTAACACAAAATATGATTTTGAAATCGAAAACTGAAAATAAGATTTGTAATCTCTAAAAATTAAAATTATTCTTACCACCCAGCATGCATTTTTAAGATCTGCTATTTTAACAGAAAGAGCTGATATCTGATTTAGAGAACTTGTAAGTTTATTGATCCTTAAATTTATTGTTTAAAAATTATTCTTTAGAACAACTTTTTTCTATATTAATTCCTGGACACAATTCAATCTGTAAACAGAAAAACGTTTTAAAATTAATTAATGTTTCTCATATGTAACTGAGAATATTGAATTAAAAATTTGTTACTAACATGAATGTTTTCATCAGTCTCAGACTTTTCCAATTCCTGAACTTCCATTTCAATCAATTTTTGTTGCCAATTGGCTTTCTTTTTCAATTTCTTCTTCTTGTTTTTTGACATATTTGAATTATTACAATTTTTTAATTCTCTTGGTGCATTACAAACTAAAAAATAATTAATTATAAGTTTAACATGTATGCAATAAATTAAACATTATATAGAAAATAAATTTCACTCTGACACACACCTTGAGATGCCAAAGGTCTAAGTCCAAGTTTCTGGCGTTGAATTACTTCATACGTTAGCTTTTTAATGTAGCTTTCATCAACTGTTATTAACACATTTTCTGGCTTAATATCTGTATGAATAATATTGCATTTTGTATGGAGATAATGTAGACCTTCCAAAACCTATTGGTTGTAAGATCAGCATGGTTATTAAGTTCTTAATTTACAGTCCAGTGATATTTTGTTTTTAAAATGAAAATCATCAAATTTTCATTTAAAAAAAGAATATCACTGGATCCTCAATAAATAAATATGCTTTTTTGTATTCTTATAATTTTATCAAATGTTTTTTAAACATGATTCAAATAAATGAATGACTTGTTAAAATCATATAATTATGGAAAAGAAATAGCCAACTGATTTGTTATTGATATGATTATTATTGAAAATTGTTTTCTGATATACTTATGTATATGATAAGAAAGATTTGTTTATGGATCTAATTCTTGTTTCTACTACAAATAATTGAAATTTTTATGTTACTTCATTATATTCTTATATAAAATTTACTTTGCTTGTATCAATCTACTTAAAAACATATTCAACTGAATTTATATCAAACTTTATTATAATCTCAAAATACAACTTAGTGCTATTTTGTGTTTAAAAAATTACATAAAAATATATTAACATTACCTGAGATATAATTGTTTTCACACATTGGATGGGTATTCCTTGATAGTTCGATCGAATAATTAATTTCAATAAATTATGACCTAATACTTCAAATACCATGCAAGTATCTAATTAGTATAATTAAAAAAAAATCAATCTATATTTCTAGAGTAATTCTTAGTAAAATGTAAATTTAAATGCAGTATGATTTTATGAATATAAGAATTAGGTTTTATATTTCATCACATATAGAAAGGATACGATTTCCATTTATGCTGCTTACTTGAAAATTATCTAGAAGTTGGATGACTCTCTCTCTGCATGGATCATCTAGATCAGTATCTCTAACCTTGAATCAATTATTATTATTATTATTATAACTACAAAAACATTACCATAAGATAGTAATTTTGATTAGGATATATTACACTTCTCAATAACTTGATTTCATCAGCAGCACTTTCTGTAAAATGACTTGCACTTTTCACTAACTTTAGAGCCACAAATCTTTTTTCCCTGTTATAAACAAATTATTTAAAAAATAATACAACTAATTTGATCTTAGATTACACTTTACAGATGTTATTAAATGATGTAAATATTGTAAAACAATTTCCATTGGCAATAATATATAAAATTTAGATGCCAAACTTGATATCACCTGGTATCATGCATAATTAGTATTCTTTATCAATACCAAGGCTGTGGAGTTGAAACACAAATGCTTTTGAGTCTGACTCCAACTTTGACTCCTCAAGTTCATGATACTAACTACCGTGTTTACCCGAAAATAAGACCTAGCACAGGTTTTGCTGAATTGTGAAATATAAGACCTCCCCCTGAAAGTAAGACCTAGCGAAGTTTTTTTTTTAGTCGTAATGGTCATCGACAGATGGTTGAAAGTGGCCGTTGGCTTTTTGAAAGTACAGCCACTGATTGGTCAGCAGACAATTACGCCACACGGCATGATTTGCATAAGACTATGGCTTGGGAATCACAGGTTTGCATAACGTTACGGCTGGTGATGGCTAATTGGTCGGCCGGGAATCACGCCACATGACATTTGCATAGTGCTATGGTTCAGTAAGCACTAATTGGTCATCGAGTCTGATGTTGACGCTATAAAAAGGCGACAGTTCAACACATTGGATATACGTCACTCTCGTCTAAGTTCGACTTGGGAATTTTTTTGTTCAATAATAAATGTGAATTCTTCTTCCTGGAAAAAATAAGACATTCCCTGAAAATAAGACCTAGCACGTTTTTCAGAGCAAAAATTAATATAAGACACTGTCTTATTTTCGGAGAAACACGGTATATACTTTTTATATCAATTGAATGCAAACAACATCCAAGACATCCCATCACTATCAATGGGAACCAGACTATCTTTTAGAACTGTAACCTATTAAAGTTCAGAGCCTGTCCATTTTTTACTGATTCCAACTCCAGTAACTCAAGAATTGCTTTTGATTCTGACCCCATAGCTCTGGTCAATACTGCCCATTATCTAGTGTGAAAAAGGTTCTGCAATTATTACAGATATTGGTAGTATTGATAAAAGATACTAATTAGGCATATCAAGTGAACAATTTGATTTTTAAGTGTTTTGGAGATAAAACCTTTAGCCTTGGTGCAGTAGATTATCTTTAGTACGTCCTTGATAAAATACAAATTTGAATCATATAATTGTAGTAACTAAAAGGTAATATGAAATATAAATCATACATACTGGTATAAAACTGAGTGCTGTATCAAATATCATATACATACTGCTGGCATTTGATCTTTTGGATAATGTATTTTTTTAAAAATTACATTTAAATAAAAATACACATTAGATATATGTTTTGTATTTTGTTATATTGGATAATTTTTAGTCTAATTTAAATATGTTTATTATACAGGTACACAACCGAATTTCTGCAACTGATGGTCCAGCATCCCTTTAATCTGGACAAAATTGCAAGAGAGAACTTGTAATTCCTGCAGTCATCAGACTAGTTTACTGGGTGGTCTCAGATGGCATTGTGTTGGGCATGCTTATTAACACTGCACTTGGTAGTAATACTGCAAATTTGTTGTATTCTTAGTTAATTTTGTTGAAATTTAAACTTAGTTATGGCTAGGAAAAATAAGTGTCAGTAGTCATATCAAACATAAACATCCAAGATATTGATCCAAGATAAAGCAGAACTGCTGAAAAAAATGGACAGTGGTGTTTCAGTGTGCAAGCTGTGTAACATATATGGTACTGACTCATCAACTGTATTTAATTTTTGCTTAATCATCTTGTTTCATTAATGTATTAATGTATAAGTAACTATATATCATTTATTTATTTAAGTTTCTAGCAGTCCTTGTGTACTTTAGACATGAAAGAAATGTAATTAGTGAGTCAAATTTGTTGATGAATTACAGATATTATTCAAGACCACAGTTGTTCCAGCAAAATGGTTAATCCAGCAAGGCTTTGGAACCTAGGATACTGGAAATTCAGTGGTGTACCTGTACATAAAATTCATAGAATTCCTAACGGATTCTACAAGACACTGTCCTAAACATTAATGAAAAAATTAGTGAGAAAGCATTCTTTAATGAAAAACATAATATAATTTATTGGCATAATATAATATAAATAAAACATAATATAATATATTTTATGAAACATCATTTTAGAACTTAAAGTAAATTTTTTAATATATTTTTTTAATTCATAATTCAAATTTGTATATAACATTTAATATATACATTAGGCTCAAAGACCGAAATTGGTCATTGAGCGAAAAAACGACCACAATGCGAATTTCGTGTTGTGGCTTTCAATGCGTAGTGGTCAAATAGACCACTACGCATTGTAGTGATTAAGAAAAGCCATAATGCGTTCTGAATGTTAGCTGATGCAACCACAATACGAAGGATTGGTTGTAACTTGTCAACAAGTGCATTGCAAACACTTGCAGAGTTTGTATTGTGTTCATTCTTGACCAGTGCTGCCATTTCTACGGTAATTACCGTTTTCTAGAGTAATTTCAACCTCTCAGAGTACTGTTTCGGATAGTCTTATATTTAGGGTAAATCTAGGGTAAAACTACTCTGTGTTCTTATGCTATTATCACTCCACAAGTTTTGCTGGAAAAAGTTTTAGCTAAAACCATTCTTTTTCCCTATAACTGGAGGGTTTTAGGATAGGACAACAGAAGCTAAAGAAATAATGCAGATTGATGCTAGGTACATGGGTGTACACTGTATAGTGATACTTTGGTTTTTGTCGATAATCTGTCCAAAAACAATCAGCGAAATCCGAAACTGACAATAACTGAAGTCAACGAAAACCGAGGTATTACTGTATTGATACACCTGAGTAGGATTTCACTTTTCTCAACCTTCATGCCATTGAGCCATTGGCACTCTCCATATGAGATGTAAATTAATACCTATGTAATGTAAATAAAGCCTAAAAATCCTAAGACATTTTAGTTATTAAAATTTTCAAAAACAGTAATAATTGTTCTGATTATTATTTCACAATAATATTACAGGGATCTGCATCATAGAATTGTCTATCTTATGTTTTTGTTTTTATTTGAGCTTGAGCTCAGAGTTTTGTCAATTTGGGTAATTTTCTGCAGTTGAAATTGGTTCGATTGTTTTAGTTAGGGTGCCTAATGTTGATAGGGGATGTGCAGCTCCCAGAAATGTTTTAGCTGTTGTTATGAGCATTAATCCATCAGGTCTCTATCAGTTAGAAAACAACGAAAGTCTTCTTGATCGACTTTATGCTCGTAATGAATTTACAATTTCTAAAGTAACTTTATTAACATTCAGAACACACCCTCAACTTTATTAACACTTCGCTCAGCATCCATGTTAACATCTGGAAGTAAGCAAGGGTTTATAATGTGTCACTGTAAAAGATACTGTATTGATAAAAAATGCAAATGTCACTCAAAGAACATAAAAATGCATGAATAATTAAATGTTGTTGTAAAGTAACCAAGTTAAATTTCTGTATATGGTGAATAATTTTGTTACCTGCATATATAAGATAAATAAATCATAATGAAAAAGAAAGTTTTATTTTCTTATCATCGCTCGTTATTAGTTAACATCCAGAACATGTGGTGGCTTTTAACCATAATAAATCCGTCACACAGTGGTTTTTAACTTTAGCAGCTGATTTTTATTTTATCGTGTGTATCAAGCACCTACAAGTATATTTAATTAGACCTATAGCACTTTTTAGCAAAACAAAAGAAACAAATGTCTATTTTTCTCCATATATTTTATTTCTTTGAAATTTTTTTTAAGTATGAAAATTAAATTTCTAGGAAAACTTGTAGAACTAATGTTGTTCAGCATTAAAAAATTGTAAATAAAAATGTTTCGAGCCTATAATCCATATTTTAAAGTTACAAACCACTGTGCATCATATGATCCTGTATCGTGGTTACATTAGCTAACATTCAGAATGTGTTATGGCTTTTCTTAATCACCACAACGCATAGTGGTCAAATATCATGAAAGCCATGGCATGAATTTCACTTTGTGGCCATTTTGAAACGACCACGTGTTGTGGTCTTTTTTTCGCTCAATGAGCGATTTTGAGCATAACATATATACATACATATATATATGTATATATTAAATTATTAAATTTTATTTACAATATCCATTACAAAAATTAATAACTTACTTTGAATCCCAGCAAAGCCATACAGTGGAAAAATGTCCCCATCCTAACTTGCGAATTATACGATACTGACTGTTTAACACATCTCCAATTTTTACGGGACAATACCCTCCTACACCAGAGTATAAATATTAGAAATTATTTAAATTATCATTTTATTTCAAATATTAAAACAATAAGACATTGAAAAAATATTATAGAATTGTTTTAATATAAACCTATGATTATAATTCCAAGAATTATGAAAGCAGTAATTTTCATTTAACCTATTATTAAATACAATTGTTTTTTATAAAACTATGCACATCAGATTATCAAACTTAGATTGCGTGCATTTCATCACATTAAGTTAGCATCAATAATTAAAAAAGTAATAAAATTTAAAAAATCTGAACATTTCTACAATGAATATGCATCCATTTTCTGTACCTAAGTATTTCAGTAACAAATTGAAAATGATTAGTATCAGGTGCAGCAGAAGCATTGCATTGAGACATATGCACTAAAATATCATTTAACATTTAACAATTAAAAATGTAAAGAGGTTAATAAAAAATTCAGCAATGAGTTGCATAACTTTCCTGGCTATTATGAGATTTTATTTAGAAAATAACTTTTATTTTTTAATTACAATATAATAAAATTGTGTGTGGTGCCATCTGTTATGAGGTTTTATTATAAAAAATCTTTTTAAATTTTTTTAATTACTATAAAATGGCAAAAAGCAAGCTTTATAAAAAAAAAAGTATAAATGTTAATAACAATTAAAATCATCAAGTCTGACCCTACTGGAGATACACATGACCCTTTTATCTCTTCACTCCCTTGACCTTTAACCACCAAAATATAACAGCATCATTGCTCCTCATACACAAGCCACCATGCCAAATTTCGTTACTTAATCTTTACCCCATTCAGCGATATTAAGCAAAATAGTCACCAACACAAACACACAATTTTTTTTACCTTTTTTTGGATTCAGGAGGTCTCAAAACATGTAGGATGTGCAAAAAGCTCTGAGGGTCAAATTTGACATGAATCCAATACTTTCCTATGTAATTTATATATAATGGCCAGGAAAATAAAAAGATGGAGTTCTGAAGTATTGTTTTAATACATATACTGTATATGTAATAGCTACTTAACATAGAAAGGTTGTTATAAATGATTAATAAAATATAATTTATAAGCTTTAAAATAAAAATTAAGATTCAAATAATAAACTTTGAAATAATAAAATAAAAAACCTGGGGCCATATTCTGGTCACTGTCTCTGGTCTCTCATAAGCCGGTCACTGATTGACTAATCATTTGGATTAGCCAATCAGGCAAACAAGCCCATTTGGTTAGTTAAGTTTAAAATATTGTAATTACTATTTTAAATAAATTTAGTCCATTAAACATTTATTTTTAATTCAATTTAAATTGTAGATTATTTTGTTAAAAAAATAAACTATATTGTGCTATATAGAAGTTTGTATCTGGGTTGAGGCAGATACCCAAAAGCGATAAGATTAAGGTGATATTGAACATCAACTGGTTCCATCAAGTCTCTTTTTGCCCTTCATAGTTAAATTTGGTGATTGGTTTTATCTGTTGTTGACATTCAATGTTGTTTGAATATTGTCATCCATGTTTGGCTTTTAGTATTACTGTTCCAAATTAGCATGTAATTTAATGATTTTTGTTTTGTAACAATTATAGTTATAGTAAATTCATCAAATCATTTTAAATTTATATCATTTTCATAATGAATTCTATCATTATACTATTTTATAGTAAATACTAAATTTATAAATGCAATATAATAACTTCAAAACTCATTAAAAGTTACAACTCATTTATATTCTACAGATAATTTAATCTAGACTATTTCATCAAATTCAACATTGACTATTTCATTTAAGAAAAAAAAATACATTATTTATTCAAATAACTCTTAAATACTCAAGTTTCACTGGTTTTAAATTTGAAATTTACCTTTACAATAATCTCTCTGATCTTCTTGTTCATCTTCAGAACTGGAAAAAATTTCTTCATTGCTTATAGATTCAGATTCTCTAAATAATAAATTAATTGTAAAAATTAGAATGAAGTTTTTTAAATGCATCTTATGCTAAATACTTTTAAGGTTATTTGATTTTTGAGTATATTCATTAAATATTTTAAATCAGATATCCAGTATAAATGAATATTTTCTATAAATGTAATAAATTTTAAAATTTATAGAAATTGAAATTTTTAATATTAAATTTTTGAAAATTTAGAATTAGAATTTTTTTCTTCAGATAATGAAGAAAGATGTTTAAATATTCAAATTTTATGTAGCTGTAGTCAGTATCAAGAGCAAGCACGACAGCAAAAGGAGCCCATTTCTAATCTTGGGACCATTCATTCTGACCAAATGAAATACTGTACATAAATTTTTCTTTCTTTTACTAATAAAAGCAATCGTAACAAAAAATAAAATCTAATTTATAGGAGTAAAAACTACTATAGGTCCAGGGAAAAATCCCCAGCTTCTCCCCTTGACAGCCCTGGTGTTTAGTAGATTCATATTACCAAGTTAGTTTAAAATTTGATTAAATATTTTAATATCAATCAAATATCTTACATATTATTTCAGTTTTATTATTATATTCATTAATTAAAATCTCATTTTAATGCCACTTAATTTTTGGTTTAATTTATTAAAAAGTATTTACCAGCAAAAGCATCACACCTTTCAGACGAGTTATTAGAACTACAGATGTTGAAACCTCAAATTTTAGACATTATTATTAAATAAAGTTTAAACGAAAGTTTAGATATATACATAGGAACACTATAGATTTGTTAACCTAGCAAATACTTCATAAATTACCGGACTAAAATTTACACATTATCAGATGACAGCAATCTTCATAACAGACGATAGATTTAAAAAATTTTTGTAAATTATCATTTATACTTATATATTGTTATTGTATCATGTTATGTACAGTACACTCATGCATTATGTATTTGAACATTTTCAAAAAATTTTAAAATGTTCCTTTCCTTGCATTCCATCTTGGAACACATTAGCATGATGATGATGATTTATTTAGATCAGTGTTTCTCAACGGGGGCGATATCACCCCCATGTGGGCGTTTTTCCATGTTGAGGGGGCGATTAGGAATAAGTTATATTTTTGGGGGCAAAAAACAATTTTCTGGGTGATATAGTAAAACATTATATTAATAATAATTAGCTATTTTATTCGTTATATTGTACAATAATTAAACAAATAACATTATACTAGTCTATTCAATGCAGTACAAATTTGGCATTAGCCTTGGCCCTCAGCATCGGAATTTTATAGTGAAGGGGGCGATACTACGTAACGGTTTTACTGAAGGGGGCGATACTACGTTGAAGGGGATGACGATTCCTTAGAGGTTGAGAAACACTGATTTAGATCATCATCTTCATACTGTGTTCAAAATGGAATTTATACTGGAATTTCATTTATAAGGTTCATTGGTTTGCATTTTTTCTGACATACTTTATTCCAGTCTTAGCATTTGAACCAAATTTACCATTATTATAATTTTTTCCTTCAATATTTATATATCTTTCATTTTGTCAGAGAAAACATTGATAGAAAATTTATTTAGCTGTATTTTGCAATAACTTTATGAAATTTTTGTAATTTGGAACCTAAATGAACAAAAAAGTCATACAAGAAAAGAATCTGTAGGCGTTACTTTTAGTACAATATCCATATAATTATAAACACACTATTTACCTAAAGTTAACATCTACCTAATGTATTTATATATAGACAATGAGTTAAGCATTACTTCCTTCTTTACCTAGCAATGAATTTTTCGTTCTTGTTTTTAAACCCGTTCTTCTTTTTTCCCTTCTTTGCCAAGTCTGAAAACAATAAAAAAACATACGAATAATTCATTATATTTTTTTAATCGATAAAATAAATGATAAATACTTCTTACATCTTTTGTTCCTATCCGAACTCATTTTCATTTGAACCAGCCGCCGACGCCTCCTGTGTATACTGATCAGTGTTGCCACATGGTGTTCAAATTGGATGATTTTTAAGGTTTAATTAAAAATTACAAATAAATTTAATGTAAGCGTTCTTATGAAAATATTTGATTTTATTCAAAATGTATTTTTTTAACTGGAAAATAATTACAATAATCGTTTTCTTTTTTAACGATTTTGCCTTAAGGGCAACCGAAAGCGTCTTTTTTAAAAGCCTATTATAGGTTCGGCGAGGTCCACGAAACTACCAAGTAGCCAGGAACGGATTCGATATATCTAGAATCTACTCGTTAAAAATTTCTGAATAAACTCTGTATTGAATCCTGGTTACCTGAACGGATGGATGGCCGAGCAGCTAAAGTGGTAGCCTACCACTTTGGAGACCCGGGATAGAATCCGAACGGGTCGAAAACTCCAGAAATGTTTCGGAGTGGTCCGTTCCGGATATGTCAGGCCCGTTTCTCACTATCCGGTGGCCTATTATGGACAGCCTTAATGGGCTTGATAAAAGACCCTCTAAGTAGGCACAGGACGGAAAGAGTTAATAGGACCGATCTTGAAGGCAGAATAGCCGAGGCGATCAACTTATTGCTCTGGGGAATTCAGAATCGAATCCGGGTGAACCAGGAATTTTTTCACGGGCGGTCTGTCGGACATAGTCTTTCCCAGTCCGGCTGAACCTACAATAGATATGAAAAAAGGTGCCTTTTCATGCCCAAAGGAGTAAAAAGCCAAAAATGAGAAAAACACATTATAATTTTTTTCATTAGGATTGACCTAAATGCAGTGGCATCGGCAGCACGAATGAAAAAGAATAAGCCATACAGTCAGAAATATTTTTAATACAAATGAAAAATGATGAGGAACGGGGCCCGATATATCCGGGACAGATCGCCACAAACAATTCATGTGACTCCAATATGCAACGTAAGACTCCCATTGCTTGATACCAAAACTTCGGCATTATCGAAGATAGTTAAGACTAGGACCAAAATAGTGTCTAAATTGGATTTCTTACCGCCCAAAAAAAGTCTTTTATTCTACAGTGATTGATTGATTGGTTTGTTGGGATACGGCAATGCAATACATGATCGATCTGCCAAGGGGAAATGCCTTTCGGGAAACTGACTCTTGTTTAGGTATTAGACACGTAAAGAAAACCGAAAACACGCAGCTAGCTCATTAGACAGGCACGAATCCACGACCAACTATAAGTGTTTAGTGGTTTTATCCACTGATAGTTACTTTACAATAAATCCATTAATGTAGAAAGAATGGCGGCGTATATACACTGGATTGTGTGGAGAAAGGATAATACTCCTTTTCTTTCTCTATATTATCCTTTTTCTATGCAGTCCGTATTCTAATCTTTTTTGGCTGGAACAGATTTAATCCTTCTTTCTCTTAAACAGATTGTCGACAGAGAAGAGGAGCTTGGAATTTTTCCCGTGCCCGGAGAAAAGGACCCATAATGGTTCCTACCCTAAAAAATTAATTTTTTTTACTAATAAAAAAATAAAATCTTTAAAACTGATCTTTTATATTAAAAAAAGCAGACATTTTACTTATTTTATTTGTTGAAAGCAAAGAATAAACAATAAGACAGAAGGGATTCTCTCTACCCCGAGAACCATACAGGCTATCGATGGTCCTGGCGAAGAGCAGGGATAAGTTGGTTAAAGCGCTCAGAACGGAAATTAACTAAATTTTTATTAAGGGCAAAGCTAACTTCACCTTTAAAAGTGAAGCTAGCCTTTTCATTTTAACGATGTTTTTAAATTGCTGTTTTCTAATTACGATTTAAAAAATCATTAAAAATATGTAATCAGATACGAAATTGCTCTTGTTATTGTAAGAAACTTATTGTAAGTATTTCCAGAAGTATGTCTGCAATTAATAATAAACAATTGGCACAAATTTACTTTTAAAAACTTTTATATAAGCAGTTCTTCGATTGAATGTGACGCTAACTTTTGATTCCAGCTGAAGGTTCCATATTGTAATTATAGAAACTTTTCTGAAATTAATGACTGCAAAGCATATTAAGTGCCCTCTTAAAACTTCTAAGAATATTATAAAGGAAATTTATTAGCGAAATTTACTATTACTTAATTCAATATTTTAAGAATTGATTAGAGTATTTAAAATATTTCTCATAAACTGACAGTTGAGAAGCACCGAAATGGAATTACTCTGTCGGTATCATTTTTTAACACAGAGTATTAATCTTTCCGAAACGTATATAATACTTAACGACAGAATTAATTAATCATTTATCATGTAAATTAAAATCAATAGTCTAATTAAAATGTAGAATTTATAAATATGCCCTTAATCATTGATTTTCATTGTTTACGTGTATTGTTTCGCCTCTTCTTCTTTTTAAGAACAGAAAAAGAGGCTCATCTTTCACATCTCTTCTTCTCCTTCATCGAAAGGCATCTTGATTAATTTTGCTTATACAATATTTTCCACAAATTTTCCTATATAATTATATTATTTTAAAAATAAAAAGCTAGTATTTTTCTAGTTTAAAGTAAAGTCGAATTTCCAACAACGGACACCTCTAAACGGTGTCCATTTTACCAGGATCGTTAAACAAATACAAAATAACCTCCAAACAACGGACAATTTTTTGTGTTCTCGTCAGTGGCTGTTATTCAGAGGTTTGACTTTACTATATTTTATTTGTTAGGAAAGTAGTTTCTTGATAAATATATTTATTATTAAACAATTTATTCAAAAATCCATTCATAACGAATTCGTTTTAATGAAATTTTGTATTCAGAATTGATGAAACGGATTAAATTTATTTCAAATTTCTCTACAAGATTACTTTTAATTTGTGTTATTCGTCACATTGAATACAAAGTAATAATAAAAATAATAAATTGCCATTAAATGAATGAATAGGCACCTAAATATAATAGAAAGATAATTAAATAGTTTCAATTATAATGGATTCTTTAAAAATATTGTTTCGAAAGTCGAATTATGTTGTAAACACAATATTTATTTAAAATTCTAATTATCTAAGACTTACTGTAATTTCCCCATTGTACCTGAAAAACCAACTAAAAAACATCTCAGAGTACAAAATAAAGAGCTTTTTTCAACTTTCCAATTAAAAACTTTGAATTAAACTTTTATTTTTAATATTCTAAGCTAATTTTTAACGGAATATTAAAGGATATCCGACATTATTTATTAAAGTGTTAAATTCCCTCTTCATATTTAGTCCGTTTCTGTCCTCTGGGGCCTTTTTAGTTGCCCTCATCATTGATTCGGCCCAATCCACGATGGGACAAACAGAAAAATCGTAAAGATTGGACCGAACTCAGATTGTACATTCTATTTTTATTGCTATTTTATATATTTTTTTAGTATTTTATGAAAGAATAGATAACAAAGAAGCTATTGTATCTTTTTTTTCACCATGATACATATAGAAATTTGGGAATTCGTATTGAAAATATTGATTTCTAAAATACACACTTCACTGATCTTTATGAAACTCTAAAGAAATTGTTTTAAAAACTTATATTTTTAATTAGTAATAAATTAAATAAAATTTCTCAAATGTATGTTTTGAAAATTTTCAGAAAATTTGCTGAAAAAGCCCAAAATTTTGGTGACAAAAATTGTTTATTTGCACACCATCAGATGGCACTAGAAGGATGCCATTGAGGATTATTCAAGAGGCATTTCGATCGGATATTTATATTCAAATATTCATTTATTTATTAATATTTCATAAACATTCATCTCGTCCGCCCATATCACTTAATGGAACGACAGCATCACTCGGAGATAACTAATAATGAAAAATACGCTCTTTGTTTGCGGCCATTTTATTGTTCTCGCGCCTGTAATGAAAAATAGTTTTTTTTTTTTTTTATGAGAATTCTCAAATGAAACATTATAACACTTAGTTGAAAATGGCGAATTAAATTATAAACGCGACTGCGTTATTACAATTTTATAACAGTAAACGACATAGAAGATCTGAAAGCATTACACGTATGCTACTATCTTTAATCCCATTTTCGAATTTAGTGCTTAACCGATTTCAAATTCTAACCACAACAATTTGGAAAACTAAGTTTATTACGCTGTCTTTGTACGGGCTAATGGTCATTTCGGCACAGCAGGATTTGACAGTTGACAAGCGAGACAAATGTGTGATTGCTAAGGTGCTAGACCAACGCCTCTCTCTTCTCCATTAGCTTCGTTATCTGCGTAGAATATTTAATAGCTCTTACTGTACTTCAATAACGGTTTATTGCGGTGACTCAATTAATGGACACCAATTATCCTAAGTCGATGACGTCACGCGCGTACGTACCCCCCCCTTCTCGACAAGTTTGCCTACTTGTTATTGTCTACGTGGAGAAAGTGTAAATCGGCTATTTATTTGCTAAATCCCACTCTTCCCCCTCTATTATCTCTAGAAGTTTAATGAACGGCAAGCAAATTCTCTAGTTGCAAAGGTAAAACTCGGACACATCACAGTTTGGCTTTAATTAACGAATACTTCACTTTACCGGGGCAATTCGTCTGTCGATAACGCGCTATAATCGGACGAAAATAGCGCGAATGGGAGTTCGAATACATTCGAAAACGTAGTTTAATAGATGGGAAAGCATTTAATTGTTAAACCAACTCGCGGAATTATACCTAAATGAAAGCGGTAATATAATTTATCCGAGAGAATTTTCTTCGATTCTTTATTAGGAACGAAGATTAACTGTAATCCAGGAGAAGCGGAACGTAACGTAGCGAAGTTACCTCATTAACTGTTGGCTCCAGTCGTGATTAGTCTTCGTCTATCCAATATTCCGATTGAACAAATACGGAATGAATAATTAGGTTTTAGTTCCTTCCTTCATCTCGAATTGTGATTGCTGCGCGTTTATTTTTATTCTTTTTCACTTCCCTTCTCTTCTGATTCAACGCCTTAACACCCGTGAACTCCTTTGTTTTAATTCGCTAATTTCTCCTTTTCAGTTTATAATTAACGGATATTTTC